GAGCAAAATAGGTATTTCAAAGGGAAGTAATTTCTAGGGTGTTACAGACAACTTATCTGAAGTTTTCACCACTACAATTAGTTTTTGGTTGAGAACAAAAAGTCTCACATCTTAAGATATTTGGTTGTGCAGTATATGTTACTATTGGTCCACCCCAACGAACAAAGATGGGTCCACAAAGAAGGATGAGAATTTATGTTGGGTTTGAATCCCCATCCATAATTAAATATATATCTTGAACCAATGATTGGTGATTTATAGACGGATAGATTTGCCGACTTCCATTTCAATGAACAATATTATTCCCAACCTTAGGGGGAGATAAAGTAGACATAAGAAAGAAATAAAAAGAAATCATTTGGAATGCAACATTATTGTCAATGTTTGATCCACGTTGAACAAATATATATATGAACAAGAAGTCAAAAAAAATCTTCATTTACAAAGTGTTGCAAATCAGTTGCCTAATGCATTCATAGATACAAAGAAAGTGACAAAATCATATATACCAACAGAAAATGCCCCTGCGCGTATTGAAATTCCATCTGGTGATATGACTATTGAAAATGAATCTTTAGCACGCCGAAAGTGTGGAAGACTACTTGGTTCAAAATATTTCAAACCAAGATAAATGAAAAGACTCGATGGCCGGTCATGAAAGACCAAATATAGATGAGAATATTGAAAAAGAAATAGATGAAAATCCAAAAGTAAGTAAACAAGATGACCATCACATCGATAAAAATGAAATTTCAATAAAATATGTTTCTACCGAGAATCATTGGAATAGAAATGATGTCATCGTAAATGATGTATTAGCATATTCCATTGCAATGGAAATGATATCTGATAAAAATGATATTGCACTAAAAACAATGGAAGAATGTTGTTCCCTGCATGATTGGCAGAAACAGAAAGAAGCAATGAAAACAGAGTATAAGTCACTTGAAAAATGAGAATTATTTGGCAAAATAGCCTCCACACAAAATGTGTAAATCTAGTTGGATACAAATGACTATTTAATTTGTGAGAAAACGAAATGAGAAAAATGAAATACTATCTCTGTTTCATATATTATTTGCAACAATTACACATTTTTCCTCTCTACTTTATGTCAAGTCGTTGCAAATAATATGAAACGGATGTAGTAGTTAGATACAAGGCAAGACTTGTAGTCAAGGTTTCTCTCAAATTCTAGGGATTGATTATGAGGAGATAAATTCTTCCGTAATTGACTCAACTACATTAAGATTCCTGGTAAGCTTAACAGTCTTCGAAGGACTAAAGTTGCGATTGATGGATGTAGTGACCGCATTTTTATATGGGTCACTTGATATAGACATTTATATGAAAGTCCCTAACGGACTAAAATTAACAGAAAACCACAAGCCGGCCTAGACAATTACTTTCCATAAAATTAAAAATGTCCCTTTATGGATTGAAATAATCTATAAGGATGTGGTATAATCGTCTCAGTGAAGACCTTATGAAAGAGGGTTTTAACAATAATCATATCAGTCCTTGTGTTTAAAAGATCACAATCAGGATTTGTAATTATTGCAGTTTATGTTGATGTCTTGAATATTATAAAAACTGCAAACGAACTTGAAAGAACAGCATCAACATAAAACTGCAATAATTACAAAATGCCAAATCACAAACTGGATATTTGTTTTACTTATGGTAGAATTGCAATATCATGGAAATCAACACAGAAAATTTTGACCGTAACATCATCAAATTATGTTGAATTGATTGCTCTTTATGAAGTAGGATATGAATGTGTATAGTTTAGATCATTGAGCGATAATATCCAAGAAGAATATGAGATGAAAGGAGTAACTAAAAATCAAACTAACGTTTACAAAGACAATAATGCATGCATCTCACAAGTAACCAAAGATACATCAAAGGAGACAAGACTAAACATGTATCCCTGAAATTGTTCTTTACATAGGAAAGATAAATGTCCAACAAATTCAATCATGTGAAAATCTTGCAGACCTGTTAACAAAGCCCCCCCCCCCCCCTTCGAAGAGTTTTGATTAATTAGTCAACAAGATTGGGATGCGTCGTCTTCGTGAGTGTTACACCCAAAATTAAAACTCTTGACTTACTTTGGCTTTGACACGTTGACTAAGAAGAACTGGACTTTGAACAAGTGTTAAGAGCTTAGTTCAACAATGAAAGTATGGCTGAATGGACAAAGCCCAATGGAAGGCCCAAGAGGAAGAATGGAACCGGTTGTAAAGCAAACAGAGTATTTCGAATTTCAAATAAAACTGATGCCAAGAGCCATGACTGCTTGGTGATTATTGGAAGCAATGGAGTAAAATACATCAAGTTTGTCTATAAGTTGCGGAGAATGTTTATGGAAAAGAGGCATCAACAAATCAATCAAAAAAAGCATTTCATTTTCTTTAAGCTTTCTTCTGAACCTTTTTATATTTCTCATGGCTTAGTAGCCAAGGGATAGTTTAGTCCCTTAGTATGTATAGAAGGTCAATCATTTCTTCCAGTTATATAAACATGGAGGTAACCTTTCCTTTAACTTGTATGTAGCCCTGACATTATTTTTCAATTAATGGAAAGCATTTGCATCTTTTATGTTTTCTACTCATTTCTTTAGCAATCTAACTTGTCTAACTTCATTACTATTTTGTTGTGTTAGGTAGGTTAGCGATATTATCAAGCTTTTGAAACTAGTAACAATAGGGGTAGCCCCTTTAAACTCTATAACAAGACTGGGTAATTGACTTATTGGTAAAGAACAATATTTACCTTAATAGATCAAGGAGAGTATCATATGCACAACACTATTTTTTCCTTCGATCATGTTTTTTATTCTATTGGTTTTCCCTGACAAGGTTTTTAATGAGGCAGTACATCAAAGCAAATAAATAAATGTCGTTGTGCTCTTCTTTCCTGGCTATGATTTTTATCTTATGGGGTTTTACCTAGAAAGGTTTTAATGAGACAACATTTACTCATTTTTATGTGGGCATTCAAGGGGTGTTATGAGGTGAACTATTATGGTAGGTGAAAGCCACCAAAATTGACCCTTCTTACATCACCATTTAATGCATTGTAGAATTTTTTTTGCCACCTAGTCTATATAGCTATGTAATAGTACACTAGTGCATAGTATCTCTTGCATCTATAAATACTCATGCATTTCATTGAGTATGAGATGAGCTTGTTGCATTTTTACTCTTAGACAATAAAAACTTACTCTTGTATCCTCTTATTTCATAACACTCAGTACTTTATTTGGTTGTTCTTTGAAATATTCTTTGTCCCCCTGTCTTATGTATATGCCTCTTCTTGGTCCATTATTTCCCTCCCATAGGCCATAGGAAACTTCATATACACTTCATCCAACAAGTCACCATGTAGGAAGACATTTCACATCCATTCAAAAAACATGCCCCTGCTTTATATTTAAACAATATGTTGTATTGGAAAAACACTAAGTATATTCCTTTTTATATTTGCTAAGGTCTGCAAAATATCGTTACTTCTTCAAACCACAAAACACCATATTTGCATTGGGGATACACTCCATGAATCAACATTTGTGCAAGGAGAAGGTGAAAAAGTATAGATTTACACTTTACTATCGTTGATGGCCATTTTTTGTCTTCTATTAAACAATAAGAACAAATCAAATAAGAGAGAAAATTGTTTGTAGACAATCCTAGAAAGCTACATCAAAGTCACCAAGTCATTAGCAGAAAAAATCATCCATGCAAATATATACTTTTGAATATTTGAAATAGCATAAAAGCCTTAACTAATCCTATAACAATCAATGATGGGTCACTCTTACATGGCTTCTTTTACATAGTGAACAACTTGTTGAAGATTAAATTTATAATGAATCATAACAAAATTCTATTTTTTCGATGGTTAACAAGTAGAAAAGTGATCAATAAAGTTTTTTTTTTTTTTCAACTTTGTTAAAAAGTAAATTGATAATAGATGTTAATTTTGAAACTACTTTCTACATCTTTAATAGGACTAACTAATCTACATATTCATTTTAAATAACCTTTGTAGAAAAACTTTGCTTTGACTTTTGACTATAATCAGTAAGGCAGCAAAGCATATACTAGTATAAAATATAACCACATTCTAAAAACGAGAGTGCTAAATTAATTTTGGAGTGAAAAGTTGTTTCCAAATTCAAATTAAAGATTTTATGAAAGTCAATTTTAGGAAAGATGTTGAATTAAGCACAAGGTACTCATTTCCTAGCCTTGATGCATTTTTCATGAGGCCGATTGCATAATCTGACACATGTTAATTG